TCGAATCACGCTTTGGTTCCTTGAAAATGTCAGCCTGTCACACGTTGTTGCGCTACCTGGTGAGGAGGATGAAGTGCCACGATTGATGTTCTTTTTCACCTGAAGGCCCACTTAACGAACGCCGTGACCGCCCGTGTACACGTGCGTGGTGATAGGCTTAATTCCTAATACAGACAAAGTAGTTGTATCCTTTGACGAATGTGTTTACGCCCTTTGTGGAGCATTTGTTCTAGGTCGGTGATTTTTTTCTTTTTTTTTCATTCAGACAGTCCCATTCTTTCGGCGCATATTCTCTTGTTTCTCACAGCATTGCTTTCAATAAAAGACCATTTCATAACAGTAACAACAGCTGTAGGTCTCTAGTTGTTTGATCATTTATCCTTGTTTGTCAATTCCTTGCTCTTCTTCACCGTCATCCTCACTTGTGGCAAAGAAACAAACGTGTTTTGAACAATTTCTCTTTGTCTTTTTTCTTTTTTTTTCTCGTCCTAGTAGTCATCAAATTCGACATCAGCGTAAGCCAAATCAGAGCTGCCGCCATGCAAGGCTTATATTCATATATTAGTAAAGTAGAAACGTGGTTTATGAAGCGGTTTAGAACAGTAGATTCAGAAGTGTATCATTATTTTTAGTTATCTTTTTCTTCCTTTCCATTCCTTCGCTGTCGTCTACGTGTTTTGTTTCATAAATCCTTTCCCATCAATGTTTTTGGTACATTTTTGACCCACAAACACACACACACGCAGGCGCGCTCCCGCGTGCAAACGTGCGCATTACTGTTCTCAATACTTTTATTCATTATGTTTAAGTCTTTTGACAGTTTTGATCCGGGTATTCCTTTTTATTCATGCTAGAATCCGCCGAGGACAGATTCCCGGAGTGTAAGTAAACAACACACCTTGAGGATCCAATTCCATAACTTAATAGCCTTTTCTTAATTTATAATCACTTTTTAGGTCATTACGCACCCTATTTCTGTAGTAAATCCATTATTTATCTCACAAACTCTTCCCTAACCTACCTACTGGTATTTACCTGAAAATAGCCTTTTTGCTTTTTTATTAGAATTGTTTCAGAAACGTTCTGTCATAAACAGGAAGCCGCTTTGCAATTTGCTCCAGACTCCTGGGACGCAGGGCCACCATTAAGTACGACGAAACTCCCACATTACCAGTAAACCTCTCATTTGGAGTAGAAGGCTACCCAGAGATGACAAGGTCACGAGGCGGCTTCGAGCTTCTAGGCAAGACGTCCCGGAAACTCTCCTGGTAATCACCGCTCTTGGTAATCGACTCTGAAAAGCCGCTCTTAAAGCCAACCCCCGCGAGCACGACGGGACGCCGGCGGCTCACGAACGTCGATCTCCTAACGGCCTCGGGGACGTCACTCCCAATTTCTTGGAGCGTTCCTTTTCGGCAGGCAGGTGCGTTATGGTAGTATGGTAGCATGGATGTTGGACTCTATGGTCGTTAGAACACAGGGGGTCCCTATAGCTGATACTAGGAATGGAGTCTGGCCTGCTACTAGACGTATTGGCATCTTGTGGCTTGTTGCCGTTACCTTGCCAAATTTGATGCTGGCCGGTTTCTGTTCATGCTCCGTCGGTTGTTTCTATCCTTATGTATTTGTAACCCAAGCTTTATGTGCTGTGCTGAATGCTTCCTCATCAGACCACTTCAATTCAATTCAATTCAATTCAATTCGATTGAATTGATTTATTTATCTCATTTACACATAGAGAAAATATATGCATACATGTAAATATGACATATAAACACACATAAGCGCACGTGCATCTAACCAGGAGGGATAACTCTCTCATTAATGATCTTGATAAATTTGCATCAGATGTGTTATGCATTTAAAATAACAGTATTAACTCTTTCCCTGAAGAAAGTGTCTTATGAGACATTGTAATTTGTAGTGGTAAAAGGGAGTGACATAGGTCACATTTAGCTATCTGTGAAGGAATTATCATTATATACCAGTACTATTACTTGTTTGTTATACAGTAAGTCTATATACTGTATTGTTTTTATATGCAAGTTATGATCGTTATTCCTGTTTTTCTGTCTCATCTTTTGTGTGTGCCTAGTAAGATCAATGAAAGTAAAATACTCACTTTGGAAATATGGCGTATGGCATACAACATTTGGAAACGATTTAAACCGCATGAAACTGATTTTTTTGTGTGTAAATATGTGAACACAACCGCAGTTTCCTAGTACTAAGCATCGAATATGGTTCTGTTCCAATCTGTGTCAAATTATTTTGCAATAGAATATCCAAATATAACCTGCTTTGTAAAAAAATAAAGTCCGAAAATGGTTCATCGTGTTATTTCAAACGGTTTCCTGAATACTCATAATCATTTATCAAATCACCCAAAAAGATTGATGTATTTCAAGAATGTGCCAAATCACGCAATGGTAAAACACTTTGTAACAAGAAATCATTGTAGAATTGAAGACACATTGAACAATTGCCCCAAGGTGCAGGTCATTTTCATCAATGGGATCCCTGTGAAGGTTTTACGGTATTGCATTCCGTTCCAAGACGAACATGCCTCTTAGGATATTTCAATGTCGTTTTTGTTTCTTTTGACTTTATTTTTTGAAAAAATAAGAACCATGGACCATCTGCCCAGTCAGTACATACAACAATGGATCGCTTTGAAACGGAAAAGGCCATTTTCGTACCTGACGAAGGTTTAAGTAAAATCTCTTTCACTTATCTAATTGTAGTTCTATTGGGTTTTCAAATACAAAATCATGCTCTCTGACCCTTTCGTCAATACAGTGAAGGAAGTCTAAAAGATTTGAATATTCCCAAAAGTTCAATAAAATGGATGCACAAAAAATGAGAGTTGGTAATTTCTTCAGTGGCAGAGAAATGACGAAAACCGGAGGAAGGGATACGCATGTTATCACAGGGAACGTATTAATGAATATTTTATAAAAAAAAAATGGAATATTTAACTGTTTAACTTCACTGAGATTGACTGCACACAATGCTTGGCTCGAATATGCCATTGAGACAATTCATATCTTTTTCTATGAAACAATTCCTACATCATACATTTTTTCATAGAAAGAAGTTCTCACAAAATACCTCGAACAGTAGTATTTCTATTAAACGTTAAAGGCGCCTTTCACACATTTTGTGTACGTGTACCCTGCAAGTGTTTTATGTTAGAAGAGTACCTTATTGAAGATTGAAATACCAAATATTCCTGTTTGTCCTTTCTAAACCCCAGTGCCCTACAAGACACAGTGCTATTCTATATGTCACTGGTGATTTGTGTGAGCGCACTCAACAAGAGTACAAAAAGGCAAAAAAGCACATTTAAGACATGAGAAACTGACAGGGAATACCTTAAGGTAAAAAACCCAGTCGTCTCACGACGTCATTGCAATCAGTGTGATTCGGTTTATATTGGGGCCCATGCAAGTACCTAACCTCCCGTTATGTTGATGCCAATGTACTTATTCTATATTATGTGTTATTTTATTTACTCGAGAGTTTATTATAGAGGAAGGCACGCTTTCTGGGATGACTGTTTTTTTCTCTTCACTCGATTCAAAAACCATTCTACAGATATTGAGCAGACGATTTCTAGTTTCAAATAGACTTTGTTTCAATTGTCATAACGGTACATACATGTACATTTAATATAATAATCTGTCGATGCCCCACATGAAGTTTTCAAATATTTGAACGTGTTTTCACAAAACAGGATAAGAAATATTACAGGTATATCTCATTTTTTGGTGAAGGCTTTTTTCTTATGCAATTGCGGCTTAAATAATCATGGAGTTAATTATCTTGCGCACAGAAAAAATTGCAAAACAAAATTTTGACCAAAGAGAAATTAACTGTATTAACATGAAAATAATGTGCTGAGGTGAAAAAAAAAATGAAAAAAAAAAAAAAAAAAAATACGCCCAGTAATGGCCAAAGTAATCAAATGTACTGAATATCAATTATTGGAATATTGATCGCAATTCACTTTTGATTGTCACCAGAAACTTCACAAAATGTACTAAAACAAGTATTGTCACTCCAGCAGGGATAATTAGATAAGTTGCTTTCAATAACAAAACAGCGAACGCCTAGGGTATAAAATGTCACTCATTTATTATTAAACAACATAAAAAAGTTTTAAGTTTATAAATATTTCAAATAAAAGAAAAACGTTGTTGTGGCTCTTGCACCAAAGTCTTCATCATTTCTCTAATCTATTCAGACTAAATCGTGTTAAAAACTTAAATTTCAACATGATATGCTTTTTGCACAATTTTGAATTATAAAAGAACCTCAAAATGAAAGATAAGAATTATACAATACTCTGACGTTGAGGTCAGTCGGTAACATTGGCGACGTCGACAATTAAAATAATAGATGAAAAAAACAACAAATAACCAGACAAACAAATAAATAAATAAAGTGTGCTACTAATTAAATAATTGTCTTTCCAATACATTAACTATGTGTACAGACTTGAACACAGCGTCAAGCTACAAGAACGTGATATTGCAAAGCGAAATCCGCCATTGTCATAACAAATTTACAAATACAATTCGATACAAAAGTCTGAGACACCTTTGCTTGCCCAAATACAGAATTTAAATGCGAAGCAAATCGTCCTGTTGTTGTTTTGCAAAGCAATACACTTAACTCTGCCAAGATGTCTATTCATTCACCCTGTATCTTCATTACGTATTGCCTTGTCTAAATGTGAATTGAATGAGCAACAACTGACATGCTCATTAGTTCCTCAAATTAACGCACCTGTGATATCTAACAAACGTATACGTGATCCAAATTTAGTATAAGTATTTGGCATAAACTGGAGACTTCTCACACACAGTTTTTCTCACAAATTATGCCAAAGAAAAGCAGGCCCGTAGCCAGCAATTTCAGAAGGAGGGTTCGTTTTCTGAAAAAAGAGACCTTTTACCATAAAATCCTCAAGTATATAGATCAAATTTTACCCAGAGTGGACCTTTTCCAAACAAAAGGGTGGTTCTTTCGAACCCCCCGACCCCCCTGGCTACGGGCCTGCAAAGGTAAGTTAAACGTCAAGTCAACGAGCGACGTACACAGGTTAAACTTTGGCAAGGGTGGCGCTGACATATAAGTACATTTGTTGACCTTATTGCATGCTTGAGCCTTTATTATCATACTCTCTTGATCCGACAAATAATTGCATTAGCTGCGTTATGTACTGAAACAAAGTGACAATAATAGTTCTTCAAACAACTCAATTTAAGGAGGTAGAACAAAAATTTGACCTATGTACATGTACTCCTACCCGATTTTGATATTTCTGTCTCACAATGGACACATTGGGGGCGTTCACTTTCTACTTTTTACAAGTAGATTTTTCCAAACAGTTTTACCACTGCAATTTGGCACTTTTATCCAATTATCCAATTGGCACCTATAACCAAGAGTCGCACTGGTATGCTGCCCCTTTTAGTAAATAACAATTTGAGAACTTAAAATATTTCTGATGAAAAAAAAAATCCATTGGCAAGTTTCTAGCATTCCACCTTGTCAAGGAAGCACTTAATCACAGCGGGTGGTACTTCGAGGATAATTCTGAATAATTCATGGTCGGCCATTAACTCCAATGAGACGTCGTCAGTTCTACCCAAGCCTGGTGCAATGTGCACTACTGTGACCACATTGAGCAGAAAAAAATGTCTGTATGGACAATCCTGACAGAAACAATTTAATTAACATTTAATCTCCCAACGAAATTACAGCAAATGATTCACTCCGTGACAGGCATCGTGTGCGTGAGCACGTGTCGTCTGAGATCGCAGTTTCTGCGGAACTCCTTCCCGCAGTCTCCGCAGCAGTGAGGTTTGATGTCGGTGTGGGTGAGGAGATGGGTTTTCAAATTGGATCTTTGGTTGAAGCTTTTCCCGCACGTGTTGCATTTGTGAGGAGAGTCCTGAAATCACGTATAATATTTCTTTATTGGCCATTAAATATACTTATGAAGTTTTAAGATATTTTTATCGCTAGCACTGTAAATAATCAATAATAACTATTATTAAACCAACATTCTTATCAAATAAGACACTGAACTGATCTGAACTAGCTTGTTTTGATAATCAAAATGAATGTATCAATGACTTTTAGATCGGCGAACTTTATATCAAAACTGCAATTGCCTAGAAACTAGATTCTCAGTTTCTCTTAATTCTGTTAATTTCACCGAGTCGTTCGTTTCAACGAAGCTAACTCACCAATAGATGGCGACACATGTAGCGTGCACTTAATTCAAGTGAGAATAAATCACCGTTAAAAATGTTTTTAAACACTACCCACGGCTCATTACCTGCATATGGAGCGTTTTGTGCACCGCTAAAGTCCTCGACTGACAGAAGCCCTTGCCGCACTCGCTGCATTTGAACGGCTTCTCTTTGGAGTGGATGTACCTGGAACGGGAGCAGATGAAAGTTTTGTAGTAATAACTGATGTAAGTGTTCCTTGATGAGTCGGTTAAAAGCTGAAAGAAATATGATGTTTGCATGAATCACTTAGTGATTCATTGAGATGTAAGCTGTGAGCAAAATAGACATTTCTATAAGTTTCATAAATGTATATTTTCCATTACTTCCTTTCCTCTCCCCCCTCTCGTTCTCCTTTTTCTGAGGAAACTGTTTTATCATTATATCACGTTACATTACCTGTGATCTCTAAGATGATCTTGTCTCCTGAAAGCTTTCCCGCAGATGTCACACGGATAAGGACGTTCGTCTGTGTGCGTGCGTTCGTGAATCAAAAGATTGTAGGACTTCGTAAAATGGCGCTGGCAGAACCGACAAATAAACTCTTTCTTCGCCCTGTAAATAAGTTAAATATTTAACATCAAAGACAAAATTGAATTTATTTAAAAAATAGCTTCTGGAGGAAGAGTGTATCAAATTCGTTAAACTCAAACCAATTCAGTTACATACCACATTATCTATTTTTTTATCTAAATCTTTCCTTCTGCAGAAAAAAAATATATAATTGCCCTTTTTAATTTTTTTAATTGAATCATTATTTCAAAGTAACAATATAGTATTTCACAGTTTGACTTTCTTTAAGCTTATAATTTTTTATCTATGTTTTTGTCAACATTTTTTCAGCGGAAGGACAATGTTTACCTCGTCATGCCACGGCCTCTTTTCTTCTCCGTTTTTTCCAACCGCGGATGCATTGAAGGATAAACGTTTAACCCTCTCCCGTATGTTGTATGGTAACTGGAAGAACAAGGTACATCTCTAAATGCATTGAGTCATAAAGAACATTTAAATCAAAATCTGGGTCCATACTCTTAAACTACTGGAAAAAATGGAAATGTGCAATCATATCTACCTTTATTCTCTTCTTCCTTGTAGCATTTTCAGTACAATTAATGTTTCTGTTTTTGTTAAATATTTTTCAATATTTGTTAATGTGTTAGGTTATTCAATTTATCTTGCAGGGTAATAGTTAACATTCTAAATCAAACTTCTGCTGGGGAAGTGTACCTGAGCACTTAAATTGTCGATAAGCTGCTTTAAAATATTCCCAAAATTACGTATTGCAATAAAAGTGGCTGTTTATGTTATAATTTGTGGATCGATCCACATCTTTTGAGAGACCCCAGTAAACGCCCTCGTCCTGTTGACATTAAAGTGAACGCCAATTAAGGTATCGCTTTCCTCACCGAATCAAGACAACGCTCCGAAACGAATTACCGCGAAATCTGCAACACTGATACCCCTTAAGACATTTCAAGCTGTCAAAAATGGAGCAAAGTACAAATAAAGTGGAACAAATTTCTAACTATCGAGTCACTGCTCTTTCAAATGAACCACAAAAAGTGGCATAGTGAAGATTTGAAGTTATTTCCACATCTCACTTTTACTCTCCTTACGCTGAGGTCACCTACACCTATTATTTGCGTAACTAATTTATAATAATAATAATAATAATAATAATAATAATAATAATAATAATTATAATAATATTAACAGTCTAAAACCCAATCTCAAAAAATTTCGATAGACTGAAAAATTGACATTCACATATACAGTAAAATTGATTATAAAATTATTAATCATGCAAAAAGAATAAAACGCATTTTCTGTAAGCAGTGGATAAATAATCATTCATTCAACGCAAACTTTTTTATCCTTCCAAAGCATATAACTTTTTTAGGCAACACAAAAAATGAGACACATTTTTTTTTGTTTAATTCCAACATATTTTAACTTATCTAACAGATTAATCATTCATTTATATCTGCCCATTTCTTTCGGGGCTTGTTCAACTTTATCGTTACTAAGATCTGGGAAAGCTAAAAATAATGCAAACATTATTACATACTATTAAAGAGGTATTTCGTGGTCTCTAATATAGCAGAGCTTGATAAAAACTGCCATTGCCAACATACAATTCCAATGCCAGATTTGCCAAAGTATTGTAAATCCAGAATTCTACCCATAGTCGAGAAACACTGGTAGCTCAAAGAAAGAATTTCTAGAACCAACAGACCACGGCCGCCATGACAGAATTTGTGAAAAATTAAAGACGGATAAAAACAAACAATTAAATAAATAAATAAACAGTCAGTGATTGTAAGAGTGAACCTTTTAAAAGAAAGCATACCCTTCTATGGCCGCCAAAGAGACTACCTTTCGCCCGTGACTCACAAAACGGTGTTTACAACAATATTTCACCCGAGGAGATCCCCCCATGCTATTGCCCCCAAGACGGTAAACAGTTGGCTGTTTTATCCGCGCTACGGTACTCTGCAGATGATGTATGCTGCTACTCTTCGACGCATCAAATCGTGACCCGCAACGACTTTTCTTTTAACCTTTAAATTGCTTGAATAAGTGGCGCTCACGCACACACACGATGGGGAGAGATCGCTGCGCACACTGGTCGCTTAAAGCTGAGCACGAATTCATACGGTTAGGAAAAACCTCTCATGTCAACGGAAACCCCTCTTATTCTTTCTCAAAATGACCGTACTTTAAAATGAGGTTTTTGGAAAGATCTAAGGGATCCCCTAAAGTTAAAAAAAAAAAAGATGACCAAAGCTTTTAACATTTCACAATAACACGTCCAAAAAAAAAAAAAAAACAACATATTTTGTTATTAATGGGAAAGCAAATATTTTCAGAATAACCCCCACCTCACTCGTTGAACACACACTCCGTGCCCTTACACTTGGTTAATTCAACAATCTTCCCCATTTGAATTTTATGTAAATTTGGTAACCAAAACCTGTCATGAAGTTGCTACAATTCAGTCGCTACCACATCAGCACGCCCAGACGGGGGTTCCTATGGGTTCAGTGTGGGTCGCTGACTGCCTCCCAGTTTGGGGATTCAGTGGGTTCCATATGGGTTGTAACTGGGTTGACCCATGAGGTTCTGTATAACTTGGCTTGCAGCTGGGAATGTTTTTGTGGTTTTTGAGTTCTTATTCCATGGTCATTAGCAGAGACCGTCTGAGGTCCAAATGAAAGAAACAGCGAACCCCAACCCAATAGAGGGGCATGCGTATCTATTGATCATAGTATATGAAGTAATAAATGAAATTGCGCCCCTGCCAAATTATACGACACGGATCTTTGGATAACTTCATCACACATGTAAAATCAGCACAAAGATGCCAGTTAACTTCATAAATCTAAACATTTTACAATTCTGACGTTATGACAATGACAATTTCACGAAAATCGGAAATAAGATTCCCATACTTTAACTGTAATAAATAATTGGAAACCAATTTCGCAGTGGCGTCCCCTTTAAGAAGCGCCCAGGGTTCCGAGCTCTACACCTCTGTCTTTACTGAACATACTGAACACATAAACCAAGACGAACCCTACAGAAGCTCTGTCAGCTGAGACTTTCCCCATGTGCGCCCCAGCTGACGGCGCTGGCTGAGTAAGTTCCGATAATGAAGCGATCGTTTGAGACGTCATGTTGCCAATTACAATGTGGCTGCCGAATGGAAGCAAGAAGCGTGTGCCGGCGCATACAACCTGGCCCACTGTCAATGCAAACTCACAACAAAGAGACCAACTTGGTACCGGGGTTCACATTTTTGAATTTGATTGTAGCTACCACTTATTTCCTTCGGGAACGTTTATGTATCGTTTTCTGTGAATTGTTTTTTATTCAGTGGAAAATTTGCACCTCCGCACCTCCGTTTCTGAGTCATGAAAGTCATACAATTTTTGTGGATTTTTGGTCTTAACCTGAGGATACGGTCTTTCTTCTTTGTTCAATGCTGTCTCCCTCTTTCACCCCCTCTCTTTCTCTCTCTCCAAATATACGTCCTAGGACCTTGTTGCTTCCAGACACAGACTCGAACATAAAAAATAACTTACCTATACCCAGTGAAGAACTGTGACATAGCATGACTAATAATCTTCGCATCTTGGTTTCGGTCAGTTTCACTTTCACTCTCGCTGTCATCATTCTTGATTTTGTCGTATTCTTGGGTTGCGGCCTCAGCAAGGTGCGCAAAGTCAAACTTTGGACGAGGCTTGTCTTGAATTTCTACAAAATAATGATAAATCCACCTAAAGGCGACTATTTAGGTGTACATTATTGTGTACATTCAGCTGTACACAGAAATCCATAGAGAAAGAATAGTCTGATCAACTGAGTCAAATGATTGACAGCAAGTTCCTACGCCACCAAACGTTTAGGGCAAATTTACGACCGCACTCCTTTGATATATCAAATTGACATTTGAACACTTTAGGAGAACAAAACATGTATCAAAATTTACAACGCACAAAATATACAGTACATTTAACAGAAAAGAAAAACAGAAATGTGGTGATATGTCTTGCATTAAAAAGTGAGATGCCATTGTGGTCAACAATAAAGCTATCTAACCGCAAACCAACACGTTTAGAACACCCGGGGTTGACCAAGCACTCAAACGGAGTGTCCTGGCGTAAATCACACACAGATACAGGAACGCGAAGTCGTTCCAAGCTGACGCTTCGTTACCCTCTACCAGGGCGACAGATTGATTTTTCACAGATATTCATAGATATGTCTCTAGATAAATAGACAGCCAAAAAATGTCCACAACAATAACTGCGGCCCTGGTAGAGGGTAACGGTTCGCTGACAGAGGACAGAGTCACTGCATCCATTGTTGTGGCAATGAAAGCTATAGGGGGCCGTTTTTACTAGTAGATTCTATGTGCTAAATCTACGCCGTGAATTTATTTCCCCCTTACACGGTAATATATGCATGATGTTAAATTAAAATTGGAGTTTTACGTGTCCGTTGATTGGGTAAGGTATCTGAGTTGTCATGAAATGAATAAATATACATGTATGAATGAGTGGACAATAATGAAACGCAAGAATCGTTTGAGATTGCGAGACAGGCTGTGGAAGCAGAGAAGGCTTTTTGATATATATACGTGTATACTAGTATGTACATACGTTACACTGAAACCATAAAAGGGGACATTAACTGAATCGATCTTCTCATTGATAAGTACAAACCAGAAAAACGTGCCGGAGTGTTTCGAAAAAAAAAAAAAAAAAAAAAAAAAAAACCGAGACAAAAAACTTACGTGCAGATGTTCTAAAGTACCTTGAAATTAAAAGAACTTTAACCACAAAAACAGGAAAAGGGTGTTTAATTGATTTCTATCTTTTCCGCATTTTTTAAATATCTCAGTTTATGTGATCCACGTAAGACCACAGCAAAAACTGATATTGATATATCGAGTACAAGATGATATGATAAAACGCTAATATTCAACGCTAATTTAAGTAAATTTGTATTCTGGAACACGTGTTTTGGAACATGTACTTTTTTCATACTACAGAAAATAGGTTTTTAAGTTGAACCATTTTTCACAGAATATTTCCATCCTATGTGTGGGTCTACATAAACCTCCCCTTTTCAAAAAATCTCCAAGATAATTCCGAGATAATTTTCCACATCATTTATTTCAATTTGGAGAAAGCACCCCGAAACATAATCAAATGTCATGACAAATGTGGAAGTTTAATTTGTTTGCAATTGTCTAGATCAGTTATGTGGGGGTTTCCTCAAAAAGAAAAAAAAAAATGAAGATATAGCTTCTTTGTTAAAATATAATTCACTATATTTTAATCAGTTTTTTTTAAATTTGAGA